GTTCCGTTTTTTTTGGGGGGGGGGGGAGCCCCTGTAAATCTTCCCCCTGTCCAGGGGTCTGATGTCTGCACCGGGCTGGCTCCGAGCGGGGCAGCCTGAGGTGGGAGCCAGGCTGCTCCCTGCCAGGGTGCAGGGGGGAGAGGGGCCAGGGCACCCTCCCAGCTATCTCCTTTTTGGTTAGAAACTTTTATTTTTTCCCCTAGTGACACTCAGGGGAAGCCTTAACGTTATAGAAGATGAATACACGAGCTTTTTTTTTTCAGTTGTAGTCTCGTTTATGGTTTTATTGCTACCATTGATTACTTTGCTTTGTTACACAGAGGAAAAAGAGCATAAAATCCGTTGGCATCCGGGTTCCTGTTATAGCTGGGGAAAAAATATACACCCACCCCCCCAACCCTTCTTTGTCAGCTAAAATCTTTTAGGGATATATCGCTAAAAAAAGGAATGAAGTCTATTGATTGAGAGCAAGACAAACAGACGCTCTCAGGTCTGAATTGGAGTGTGCACCCACAAACCTTCCTCCTCCCAGCCCCTCGCACCCTCACATTTAAAATAAAAACGTGGACACGATTGGAGGTTAAAAAAAAAACACAACACAACCCACAACAGAGAGGAGGCCAGGGCTTCCCTGCCATAATTGAATTTTTAAATAGCGAGCCACCAGAATGATAAAGATACCTCGCAATATTTACAGATCAGCAGGTATGTTTTACATTTAAGGGGCAATTTATGGCTCTAGATTGAAATTAAAATTAGATTAGCTGTCTTCGTTTCAATTAGTTCTAGGTGCAATCTACCCAGAGAAGATAGAACATAATCCCCCCCCTCCCCTTTCATCTGACGAAATATTTGCGATGGAAGTTTCCCCGTCAGCTGTAAATATCTGCAACTCCGAATTGCTGCAAACCCAAACACGAGGTTGCGTCCCCAGCCCAGGCTCCTCGTTCCTCTCCATTACAGACAGAAATCCTCTCTTTCCTTTGCTTTTCTTTTTTTTTTTTTCCCCCCACTGTGCTGTTGTTGCTGAAAATGTAAATATCCTCTGGCATTGAAAATTAGCAGGGAAACGTCTGAGGGGAGAAATGTCAAAGTGGAGGAGAAACCTCAACTTCCAGGCTAACGTGAGTTTGCAGTCTTGGGTGCTGCTTTTCTGGATGTCTCTCTCTTCCCCCCCCCAAGCCACAC